CAGGCTCTGGATGGAGAGCTGCGGTAAGAGGAGGGTCGCTGGGGCCCCGGGGAGGGGGGCTGAGGGTGCAGTGACCCCCCGGCACTGGGGCTCCCTCAGAGGTGGTGGGTGTGATGCCCCCCAACACTGGGGATCCCCGGGAGGTGATGGGTGTAATTCTCCTCCTCAGCAGGTGGTGTGTGTGATGCCTCCCAATACTGGGGATCTCCGGGAGCTGGTGGGTGTGACACCTCCCAGTACCAGGGCTCCCTGGCAGAGCTGGCAGGAGTTGGTCCGTGCAGTGCCCTCATATGCCGTTTTTCTTTGGGAGAGCTGCTGGGACACGCTCCCTCTCCCATCGGGAGCTGCCTGGACTCACTGGGCTCAGCCCCACCCCGTGCAGCGGGACGTGGGGTTTTTCACGTCCGAGCTGGCTGTGCCCCATCCCCCCTCCCCCAAACTGGGTCCCGGGGCTGAGCAAGCCCTGGGACAGACACTGCAGCTTCCTGGCCAGCAGATTGTTAAACACAGGGCCTGGCCGTGTGCCGTGTGTGACACTCTGGGAATGTGTCCCGGCAGTGCCAAGGCTGTCACTGGCCTTTGGGCCGGCCGGAGGGAGGAGGTGAGGAGAAACCTGGGGCTGACCGAGGGTCTGGACCCTGCCTGGAAGGTGCTTTTGGAAGCAGCTGCCTCAAAACCTGCACAGTCATTGGAGAGGGATCGTTGCACACTCATTTTTTGCTGTGCAAACTTTGCTGCCCCGTGAGGGAAAGCAGATGGGAATAATAACAGAGGATGCAAAGCTCAGCTGGCCCAGGGCTTCGTATGAATATGTAAATATTCTCCATATAATTCATTATATTCATATGGTAGTTGCTGATTGCAGTTTGTAAATCGCCAGTTAATCCCAAGATGGGTTAGTCATCAAATTAGGGGGTTCTGTAAGTTGAACCAGACACGTCGCAGCTCTGCCGAGCAGTTGAACCCAAACACTGGGTGATCTGTTGGAATTCTGAGCCCTGGTTTGGCATTTTGGATGATGCCCCATAGCTGTGTCCAACAAATATGAAACGGTGTCTGCAGCCTGGTTTACAGGAAAGGCAAAGAAATTCAGTGGTTTGGCTGGAATTGTGTGGAAAAGTACGAGTGGGGCCAAGAATTAAACTTTTTTTTCCGTGCTTGTAATATTAGCTAATGTAGAAATTAAGGGAAAAAAAAAAGGCCAATTAATAAAACACCATGAAACCTGTTAGCAGTGTCCATCTGCCCTGTGCATGCCTTGATCATCCTGCAGTTATCTTTGTCTGTTTTTTTTTCTTCTTTAATCCTTACCTTGGGATCAGGAAGGCTTTCTCCCTTCAGGGCACAGAAACTTCTGCCTGGCATCCTAAAAATGCTCTTGCAGGATCTTTGCAACCCACTGCCATGCAGGGC